GCACCACAATTAGCTTGATATATTTTTTTTCCATCCTTTAACTTTTAATCTATTTTTGTCTTTTTTGTATTAGTTATGTCTCTTGAAGGTATTGAGTTGAAGGATCCTGTTTTCTTATTCATTCTGCTACTCTCTGCCACTTGACTGGTACATTCAATCTATTGACATTCAGTTTAATTATCAATTGTTGTTGTTGTTGTGTGCCGTGGAGTCGGTTCCAACTCATAGCGACCCTGTACAGGGTTTCTGAGGTTGTACATCTTTACAGGAGCAGAATGCTTCATCTTTCTGTTGCAGAACAGCTGGTAGTTTTGAACTGCTGACCCTGAGGTTAGCAGCCTGATTTGTAACCACTATGCTACCAGAGCTCCTTGTAATTATCAATAGGTATGGATTAGTTGCTGACATTATGCTGTTTATTTTTTGTGATGCTGCTAGTTTCTTTGTTCTGTATGCCTTCCTGTGCTGAGTTAATTTTTTTGTGTGATTTTCTAGTCAGTTTGTTCATAGTGTTAATGTTTCAATAATCTTCTTGGACATTTCTTTTCTTTAATTCATGTGGAAATGTATTAATCTTCTTTGAGGCTATCCTATATTTTATTAAGTTCTTCCTTATTTTATGACAGTCTGTTTTATTCTGAGATCTACTTTACCTCCTCACCACCTGGAACTCTATTATTCATCTTTTCCCTTTTTTTGCTTTGTTTTTACCCTGATCATAGACTGACTTTCCAGATCCCTTAACTTCAATCTTGTAGTTTTGTTCTGCTCTAAACTCCTTCATCTCTGTACTACGTTCCAGGTGGTGTTGCCACATGTGTCTGGTCTTGTTGATTCTCAGTTCAAAGAACTCCATTTAGCATGTTTTGGAGTGCTGGCCTTTACAAAATCCCTTAATTGCTGTTTATCCTGAAATGTTCTGATTTCACCATCCTACTTAATGAACAAGGAGCTCTGGTAGCATAGTGGTTACGAATCGGCCTGCTAACCTCAGGGTCAGCAGTTCAAAACTGCCAGCTGTTCCATGAGAGAAAGATGAGGCTGTCTGCTTCTGTAAAGATTTACAGCCTTGGAAACCCTGTACAGGGTTGCTATGAGTCAGAACCGACTCCACAGCACATAACAACAACAACAACTTAATGAACAGCTTTGCTCAAACCCCTAACTCTAAGAGGTCTGTCCTCACTTGTGAGGAAGACCTGTCCCCACTCTTCTGGGAGCATTTGGTAGGTAGTGTAATAAACTTAGTGATTTGCTGAAGATTTTCGTCTGCTGGTGTGTATCTCGCTTCACAAAGAGATAGGGCTTACTCGTCTTGTCTCTTTCTAACATCAAAGTAGGTCATCTTACCCTGTGAACTTGACATGCTTTATCTTGTAATCTACTTGAGTTCCTCACCATTTGAAAGTTCTGTAGCTACACTTTTCCTTCTTTTTGCTTTGTAGTTGTCTTCATTATTAATTTGTATCTCTGGTTTCCTATTTGCAGGAGTTGGTATCAACTTGATTGCACTAAACAATAACAACATTACCAAAATCAGGGCCAAATACTAGGCAAGTACACAACTCAATCTGAGGGAAACTAGGGATGACTGAGTGCTCAACACCATTGGTGGCTAAATTACACACACAGCAACTGTCCTTTTTTGCTTCCCTTCTGAGTTCACACCTCTCCCAAGCCTCTTGAGGCACTGTTGAAGAGTAACACCCACTGTCACTGGGCTTTGATACTCTCAAAGCTTTTTATGTATATAACCTTTTTCCTAGGACATTTTGGAAGTCAACTGAGTAAATGATGGTTGATTGAGTGCTAAGTGCTAGCACTGTCTGCTTTGTATAAAATATTTAAGAAAATCTACATACAGTCATGTGAGATGATGTTACAACTTCTCCTATTTTACAGAGGTGAAAATTGAAACTCAGGAGAGTTAAATAACTGGCTCAATGCCACCCACCCAGGAATAAGCCAATTTGAGGTTTAAACCCTTGTGAGCTTGATCCAATGAATAATGTCTTTAGAGAATGCCCCACTGCTGCAGGTTCCATAGGGAGGGTTTATTATTCAAGGTCCCTTTTCTCTTCATAGCAGCCTTGGTGGTACTGTGGGTTAGACATTGGGCTGCTATTATCTAGTAGGTGGTTCAAACCTACTAGCCTCTCTCCAGGAGAAAGATGAGGCTGTCTGCTCACTTAATTATTTGCAGTCTTTAAAACCCAATATAATGTTGCTATGAGTTGGAATGGAGTTCTGGTGTGGCACTGTGGGTTAATGTGCTGGACTGCAAGGTTGGTTTGAACTGCAAGGTCAGTTGTTGAAGCTTACCAGATGCTCCTTGGAGACCCTATACAGGGTTGCTGTTGGAACTGACTGGATGACACTCAACAACAACAACAACGAGTTGGAATGGAGTCCTGGTGTGGAGCTAGAAGATAATCACTAGACTGTAAGGCTGGTTTGAACTGCAGGGTTGGTGGCTCAAACTTATCAGCCCCTCCTTTGAAACCCTATACAGGGTTGCTATGAGTTGGAACTGACTCAACAGCACTTGACAGCAACATGAGTTGAAATAGACTCTATGGTGATGGGCTTGATTTTTGGTTTACCCTTATTGAAAGGAGTTCTAGTGGTGCAGTATTTAAGAGCTCAGCTGCTAACTAAGAGATTTTCAGTTTGAAGTCACCAGCAGTTCTTTGAGAGAAAGATATAGCAGTCTGCTTCTATTAAAGGTTATGGCCTTGGAAATCCTATGAACAGTTCTACTTTGTCCTTTAGAGTAACTAGGAGTCAGAACTGACTTGACATCAATTGGCTTGTACCCGTAGTGAAGGAATTGAAGATTCTGTCCTTCTTGTATTAACAATCAATACCCACGTAACAAGTAGTCAAGGAAGCAAACAATGTATTACATTTTGCAGATCTGCTGCAAAAGACCTCTTTAAAGTGCTAAGGAGCCAAGATGTCATTTTGACTACTAAGGTGTTCCTGACTCAAGCTATGAGTAATCACCTCATATTCATGCAAAAGCTGGACAATGAATAAGGAAAGCTGGAGAGGAATTGATGTATTTGAATTATGGTGTAGGTGAAGAATATTAAATATACATCATAGACTGCTAGCAGAACAAATAATTCGGTTTTGGAGAAAGTACCATCAGAATCTTCCTTATAAATGACATGTTATCAGGAGGGACTATCCCTGGAGAAGGACAGCATGCTTACTGAAGTAGAGGGTCAGCAAGGAAGAGGAAGACCATCAGTGAAATGGATTGGCACAGTAATTGTAACAATGGACTCAAACATAACAACAGTTATAAAGATGGCGCAGGACTGGGCTGTGTTTCATTCTGTTTGTTCATGAGGTCTCTGCTGGAGACCAGCCTCGACAAATTATTAGGAGGCTCTTGAACGAGGATATGGAGTTGGTGGAATGAATTATATGGAGTCAATGGGCCGTTTTGAGTCTCAGGCAGATGATGGTGATGACTCTCTCTTTACTTCAAAATTGTTGCTTCTTATATCCCATTTAGAATGTACTATGATCTCACAATAGTCATGTACAAGCAGTTACAAATCAATCAAATATTATATTCTTACATCAAAGGTACAAGAGGAATACATGGTCATCAAACATTCCTGCGTCTCTACACTCCCTAGCCACTCCAATAATGTCTGTCCTCTGTAAGCGACTCTGTTTCTCTCTAATCCTTCCTAAAATGTCTAGTTTGACCTTGATTTGTTTTTCTCTAATCCTCTTTAAATGTCAGGTTAATTTTAAACAAAGGTCTACATCTTAACTTCTAACTTTACCAACATCTGTTACTTTCTATAGATTTATTAATTACAATTCACAATCAAAAACACAATTTTTACTATATCTGGTCATGCATATAATTGATTTAACAATAAAAACAAGAACATAAAAGTACCCTAAAGTTTCATAGTTAAGAACAAAGCAGTAATTCTCTTATACTAACAATTTCTCAAAACCTCTAATCAAATTTTTACTTCTGTTCTTAAGCTCCCACTGTTCTTGACTGTTTCTAAGCTGCTTTCTAAAGGCCTTAATGTCCTTGACTGAAACTACATGGAATGTTGCTTGCAAACTTAAGCTTGAATTGCTAAAACTTTATCTAGTGTAGTTATCTCTAATATTAAAACTTATTGTTAAAGTAAAAAACAATTTTTATAACTACGTAAGATTGAATATGGTGTGAAAGTTAGTAGGCAACTATTATAACATGAGGTTTGTTTAAAGTGTCTAATGATTATGCAAGATTTTCTAAAGGAAATCAGAAATAAACTATTTTCCAAGGAAAAGCTAGAAACCGTGGGGCCCCTGCATGAAATATCCCTTGTGGTTTTGCCAACCATGGCGACATTCATTGTTGCTTGGCTAAACAATGAACTTTTCATGCATAAGGCTTCTCGCTGTTCCGTTCCTTGGCAGGATGGCGTCCGCCAGGTCTCTATGAATCAGAACCATCTCAATGACATCTAACAGCAACAATAACCTCCAGTTGTGTGTGTGAGTTTAGATGTGCTATTAGAGGTCTAGCACATGAGGTATATATTTTCATATTTTAACACATCAGAAATCAGCTTGCCAGTCATTATTTAATTGAAAATACCTTTTGTTTTTAGTGGCACAGAAGATAAGGTGTTTATTACATTAATGGTATCATAGATTGAAGAAAATCATTACCCTTTGTGCTGATTCTTGGGCCAATGACAACATCAATGGGATTCAGTTTCTCCATGTGCAAAGTGGGGATGATTGTCCATCCCTCAGCTAGTCACTATGAGGCTAAGATTAGTCACATCTGCAGCAGGATTCTGAAGGGGTCAGGCTCTCACCTCCTTCCCCCAACAAAACACCTTGGTGGGGCAAAGGTAGGCCTCTGGCAAGCAGGTTTTCAGTGCATTTGTTTGTCTGTGCAGAGGGAGCCCTTGGCGTCAGGGCCAAGCAAATATTTGAAGTTATGTATTAACCTGAGAGCTGTGATGGCGGCTGGAGGGCGACCTTGTGGGTTCTCCAGGGCCTACCCTGGTAAGTCCCCAGCCTAGAACAATTTTACTCTGAAAATAGGTCTGTGGGAGAGGGCCAGAGGAGCTGAGTAGAGGGCTGAACAGTGGTGAGGGTTGAACGCTTGAGCTAGGGTTTGAAAGACTTATTGCAGCTCTCAGCAAAGGTTTGAAAGCCTTACTGAGGCTCCAGGCAAAGGTACTGGCAAGCATTTATCCAGATGGAGGTACCTTAGCCCCAATAATCCTCTTTCTGTATAACCCCTTTTCCCCAATCTACCAGACAAGTGATTGACAGCCTCTAGGACCCAGTCCATCCCTAGAGGCAGTTTGGAGCTCCAGAGCACCCTTCACCATTAGCACTAAACCTGTGGGCAACCGATTTCAACAAATGTTGGAACCCACATTAGAGAGAAGCAGCAAAATTTGATAGTGAGGCCCAACAGGAGTTTGCAGATGGCAGCAGGGTGCACCTTCCCACTTAGTCTTGGAGTCCATAGAGGGCTCCTGGGTTTTTGATAGACAGAGTTACCTCCATAGCTGTGTGGGGAGCCAGGGGCTAAGGTCTCAGGCCTGGAGCCACACAGGCCTGGGCTTGAGTCCCAACTTTGCTGCCTCCTAGTCTTTGGTTTTGAATTAGGAACTCTACTCCTCGGAACCTCAACTTCCCTTTTGTGGAGTGGTGGTGGTGGTGGTTATGTGTCATGGAGTTGATTCTGACTTATAGTGACCCTATATAGGGTTTCCGAGGCTGTAAATCTTTACAGGAGCAGAAAGCCTCGTCTTTCTTCCGTGGAGTGGCTAGTAGATTCGAACAGCCCAACTTGTAACCCACTACGCTACCAAGGCTCCTTTTTTGTGTGTGGAGTTGTTGTTGTTTAATGCTGTTGAGTTGGTTCCAACCCATAGTGACCCTGTATAAGGTTTCTGGGGAGCAACTGTTGAGTTTGAACCACCGACCTTGCAGTTCAAATGGCTTTTCAATCTGGCACATTAACCCACAGTGCCACACCAGGACTCTTGTGTGGAGTAGGCAGTGACAATATTATGACTTACCTCTTGGGTGAAATAATTGATGTTAACCAAAAGATTGGTGGTTCAAACCCTCTCAGAGGCACCTCAAAGACAGATTTGACAATTTTTCAACCGAGCTTCCATACTAACATAGATTAGGAGGAAAGGCCTACTTCTGAAAATCAGATGATGAAAACCCTGTGGATCACAACAATCTGGTTCACAACTTATTATGGTCATGGCACAAGACTAGGTGGTGTTGTGTTCTCTTATGCATGGGGTTGCCATACCTTGGGGGCTGACTCAATGGCAGCTAACAACAGCAATGTTAATTGAACATTTACTATATGAAATATCATTTTAAGAATTTTGTGTGTATTAACTCATGTAGTTTTTACAAGTGTATCAAGCAAAAATTTAATTATTCTATCTATTTGACATATGAGGAAACAAGAGTTGAACCTCTTGTTCAGCACTGTTATCCAGTAAGTGGTGGAGTTGGACCCCAAGCAGCTTGGAGTCCTGGTGTGGCATGATAGGATAAGCACTAGACCGAAAGGTAGGTTAGAACTGTAAAATTGATGGTTCAAACTCACTAGCTGCTCTTTGGAAACACTATACAGGGATACTATGAGTCAGAAATGACTCGATAGCACTTAACAACAACAAAAGTCTGGCTTCAAGACCTGCTCTCTGAACCATATATAAGTTTCTCAAAAGATATCATATGTGTCTAATAGATGTTAGTTATTAGCGTAGTGGTTACAAATTGGGCTGTGAACCACAAGGTCAGCAGTTCGAAACTACCAGCTGCTCCGTGGGAGAAAGATAAGACTTTCTGCTCCTGTAAAGATTTACAACCTCAGAAACCCTGTTCAGGGTTGCTATGGGTCAGAACCGACTCGACAGCACTTAACAATAACAACATTATTCTTAACCTATTAGGCCAGCATAGACATAGCCATACACCCTTCTCAGGAACAGGGGCACAGGTGGGCTACAAGTATTTAGGGTGCATCATGGTTTGTGAGGCACTTTCCATGCTGAATCTCTGTTTTCATTAGGACTCTGTGTGTGTTCCTTCTGCTTCCTCTCATACCCCTTCAGATGCAGGTGGTATGACCTTAATAAATATGTAAGAGAAAGAAGTATCAGGTGACTCTGTGTAGCTACAAAACCCTCTGCCTATTCAATTACTGGATGATCAGAACTCAACTAGAAGAAGAAAGAAGAGGAAAAAAAAGAGTAATCTGATACAGTTTGATGAACTTGACCTACACCTATGAATGCAGTAGCTCAAAAGAGGGAACAAATCTTTTCAGCAAGGATTATTCCCACCCCCTCTATACATAGAGTAGCCAGGGATGAGCAACTTAGACATTGGCTACCCAAAATTGGGGGCTACAAAGGCAAGAAGTGACTGGCTTACAAGCTTTCAAGAGGGAACCTAGATTCAGAGAGCGTGGAGCAAGGTAGACTCTCCACTGAGTAGTATTCAATCTGTCTAGGTGGGGCTGATGAAAGGAAATGCAGATAGGTCTCTTGCAATATAATAGTGAATAATTGTTATCAGGACTGATTGTTAGGGTTGGAAATGTAAAGATAGACATTTTGTAGTAAGGAGGGGGAGTGATTAACTTTTCAGTCTAGGAGTGGAGGCCCCTGGGACCATCAAGTGAGAAGAGCGGAGAGTGGGACCCTACCCAGAGAAGCTGTGATGCCTGAGATGGAGGCAGAGACGATGATGTGGAGAGATGGAGCAGCTGGGGACTTTAAACCCAGAAAGGGAGAGGGACTGTGTGCTGATGACCGGGGGACAGGCTTGTAGTATATACCCTTTGGTTGGTTGATGATGCATGGAAGGGATTGTAACCATGGCAATGAAGTGATATACGATAGGATGAATGTAAAACTAATGTTTGCCCATGTAAACTATCACATAATTCACAATAAAACATTAAAAAAAACACAACAACCAAAAAAAATCCTCTGCATAGTGAACAACAGGACTCCTGGTGTGACACTGTAGGATCAATACTGGACTTCGAACCACAAGGTTGGCAGTTTAAACCCTCCAGCTGCTCCTCAGAAATCCTATATGGGATTGCTATGAGTCAGAGCTGACTTGATGGCACTTAACAACAACAATAGTGGACAAGAAGTCCAGCTCCAGCTTTAACATTGAAATAAGCAAACAGAGAAGCAGGCCCTTTCATTGAGCCTCCTTCCAGGGTGGCACAGGAAGAGCAGGGGCCTGAAGAGCTGCCAGGAGCTCAGAATCCCTTCTTGGACAGGTGCATACAACTCCAGAATGTGGCAGCTCATAAGCCTCTTACTGTTTGTGGCCATCTGGGAAATTTCTGGCACACCAGCTACTCCTGGTAAGTTTGTCCTTCTTTCTCTTCCCTGCCCTCCCTGGACACACCATCTCTAGCACCTGTCTCAGCCACAATTTCCCCATCTGCTAGGGCCTGGCATAAGGCAGAGAGGTAGGTGCAGAAGCTGTCAGAGTAACCTAGGTAGGGTGGTTCTGGAGGGCAGTCTAGTTGTCAGGGTGCCCATGGTCACACCCTGGAACTCCTTTCCCTAATCTCTACTCACAAAGGGTCTGCTAGCCTTCCCACTTCACACACTGGCTTGCTCAACTGTAACAGGCTACTACCCATATTACCCCAAGAACATCTTCTCCTCCAAATGCTTAACATCTGTGCTATTGCTTTTTCCTGCCCCATCTTTGGTCCCTACCAGCATCAGAAAAATACCTGATTTCCAGGGGGTACTTTGAGCAATGATATGAGGCCCATTCTGCTGCCTCCTCCCTCTCAAACCTCCAGCCCTCTGGACCGGGTCTTGTCCTTTCTTAGCTGCCTGGATGTCCTTTTCTCCCTCATCCTATCTGCTCCACTTGAATTCCTCTTTCCAGGCTCCTTCAGCAGACTTCTTCTAGGGGGGCTTTCTTGATCTGTGTTTGATCCCTTCCCCTATCTCACCCCATCCTCTCTTTTTCACTCCCATGATTTTACCCCTCCTTCCTTGCTGTCCAACTGCATTCAAGATAACACCTCTGGAGCCCAGGAGACAATTGGTTATACTTTAGTCTGCCTGTCTTCCAGGTATGCCTGCCCAAGAGGAATGGTCAAATGAAGTGCAATGGGTGGGGGTGAGTAAGGGGAGCTTTCCAGGAATGGAAAGAAAGAGTGGGTGAGGGCATCAGGATGGAGCTGTATTAGGAAGGTGTATTTGGAGAACAATGAGACTGATTTCGTTTTGCACTCATAATAATGGTAATAACAGCAATAACGACAGCATTGACAACAGTATTTGGCATTTACTAGTGAGTATTTATTTCTGTGCCAGGCAGTAGGGTGGTCCAAACAACTGTGTACTTGAAAACTAACCAAAAAGTTGGGGCTTCAAACCCACCCAGAGTCACCTTGGAAGATAGGGCTGGCAATCTGATTCTAACCAGTTCAGTTATGGCCAATAAAGCAAAAGGATGAACAGTCCCAAAATTTTAATATTTGGGTGAAGCAGAATGATACCAGAACAGGAAAAAAAAATTGGCAAGAATGAGAGGCTCAGAAGAAATGAAGTGTGTCCTCTAAGGAGCCTGATACAGGAGTTTGGATTATTGCCAGGACTATGACCTCCTGGTGTGGGATTGTAGAATCAGCACTGGACTGCGAACCACAAGGTTGGCAATTCAAACCCACTAAGCTGCTCCTGAGAAAACCTATACAGGGTTACTATGAGTCAGAACTGACTCAACAGCACTTAAAAACAACAACATGGACACACACTTTGTTTGTCTCTGGAGTAGATGTTCTTTGCAATCAAGTCTCCAGCCATCCTGAAGTCACTTTCTCATTATGGGGAAATAACAAAGGAGCTGAGGACAGATTTTCTAGGAACATAGTGACCTCCAGTGGCCCGAGACAAAAATCTTTCTAGGTTCTTGCCAGTTTGGCTCTCCCAGGCCCTCTTCGGTCCCAGCATCCTCAGGCCCCTCAACTCCCCATCCTTCAGATTTGGTGTTCTTCAATGGCAAGCGTGCCCATCAGGTACTTCGGATCCACAAGCGTTCCAACACCTTCCTGGAGGAGCTCATGGCAGGCAACCTGGAGAGGGAGTGCATGGAGGAGACCTGCAACTTGGAGGAAGCCCAAGAGATTTTCAAAAACGTGGATGACACGGTAAGGCTGTTCACAACCTTTCAACACAAGAGTGGGTCATGGGGCCAGGCTGGTGCCCAGAGGAGCAGGCAAGGGCTGAGAAGTCACTGAGAAGTGGGGTGATAGACACCAGCTCCTTCTGTTTCCAACTTGTTGGTGATGTCAAGTGGGTTGAATAGGACACTGGTCCAAGAACAGAACTCTGCAGTTAGCTCCAAGGTGGTGGGTAAGCCCTTGGGTGGGCTTCTTACCCAGCTTCATTACAGCTAGTTTTGCCTACCCAGAACAGACTGACATGGCCTCCTGTCTCTATTTTATACTACTGTCTCCCTATCTATTACGAAAAGGCCACCACCCCTGCTTCCATCCCTTCACCTGCTGATCAGACTTCACAGTGCATGTTCACTCTGTGCCTAGTTGTAATTTTCATAGGAGAATAATCTGATTGCTCAGGTGGTCTAAGGGGAAGGTCAAAGTGGCCCAGACCACCCCCCACCCCCCATGCAGAGCCCTATGGAGGTGGCTTTGAGATAGTAGGATAGATTTGGTAACGGAAGTGTTTCCTGATACAAGGCTAGCTTGTCACCAGTAGAATCTCCCCATTCCTAACCCTCATGGGCTCAAATCACTTAATCCCTGGAGCTGTGCCACCATATGGAGCCCCTATCAGATGGGTTGTCCCTTCTCTTCCCCTACCCTTCCTCAGCTTGCTACCCATCTGCTCCCCTTTGAATCCCCACTGCCTCTTTTCCAAACAGCCTTCTCAGCAATCATTGAAGTGATACTTTGCTACATGTGCAAATCTAAACACATGGCATTGCTCCTGTGCCCTCCATTCTCTCTCTTAATACAGAACATGAACTGCTTGTCAAGATGCCACAGGGCTACAGCCTACCTCATTGTCTCCACTAACAATCTCTCTCATTTCTGTAGTGTTTTTTCCACCCCTTCATCTACTAGCCTCTTGTGATGGTGGATTTCAGTGTGGTCCCCACAGTATCCCCTAGGACCTGGATGGAAATGCAAGATCTCTGCTGCCCCAGGCTCTGAACCAGCAATCTGTGCTTTAACAAGGAGACCCTGTGTGCACCTAACTATGAAAACCCCTGGCTTAGGGAAAGACTGGATCAGTGAGAAGTCTCAAGCTGCAGGAGGGAGGTGATGGGCCTGAGAAGAAGAGAGGGATATGGGATTGTTCATGGAGGAAGGAGAAGTATAGCTTTGACTAGCAAGGAGTTGTCCCTCGGGGTCTGGAAGTCCATCCTCCCTGCTCTCATTGTCTGCCTAGAAGCTGCCTTTGCCCTTTTTCTCCACAGCTGGCCTTCTGGTCCAAGTACATTGGTGAGTGCATTCTAGACCCCTATGGCTATGCCTGTACAATGCCCTGTCCCATTGCTGGCTATCCCTTCCCCTAGGTGTCTCGGTTGTCTGATGGGGTCTTCTGAGACACTGGGAGGCTGGGAAGGTGACTGGGAACACTAGTGACCTTCCCACCCCTGTATGGCAGATGGGGACCAGTGTGCAGCCTCACCGAAAGGGCACTTATGTGACAGCCCATGCTGTGGGCATGGCAGGTGCATCGATGGCATCGGCACATTCCTCTGTGACTGTACCGCGGGCTGGGAAGGCCGCTTCTGTGCGCAAGGTTAGGAATGCCCGGGTCTGGACGCTTCCATAAAGATTTCTGTGAAAGTGATTAACAAGACCACACCAAGTGATAGCGTGTTAAACAATGTCCCTGGGCAGCAACCTGCCTGTCTCCTGCAGTCAGCCATAGTCTGCAAGGGTGGTGGAGGGATGAGGGTTGCTTATTCGGTATGGGGCCCGGCCTTCACACTTTCGCGTTCGCTCTTTTCTCTGCCCAGAAGTGCTTTACTTTAACTGCTCGGTGGACAACGGCGGCTGTGCCCACTACTGCTCAGATAAGGAGGGCAGGCGCCGCTGCAGTTGCGCGCCTGGTTACCGGCTTGGGGACGACCCCATGCAGTGCGAGCCCACAGGTGAGTGGTTCTGAACTGGAGAGCTAACCTGGGGCGTTTCTTATCTGGCCCCCAACCCAGGTTCCTTTCCCTACAAGCATGGTAATGGTGGTGGCGGCTGTGTGCAGTGGAGTCATAGCGACCCTGAATAGGGTTTCTGAGGCTGTAAATCTGTACGGGAGCAAAAAGCCTCATCTTTCTTCCGCGCGGAACAGCTGGTAATTTCGAACTGCTGGCCTTGAGGTTAGTAGTCCGACTAATAACCACTAGGAATCCCATCGCAGTGTTAGAGGGATGTGGGTGGCAGATGCCTTGAGGGAAATCTATTTACTGGGGCACGAGGTGGGGTAATGGTGAGGAGCACAGACACATGCCCAGGAGTGTTTATTGAAAGACAGAGAGTGAAGGCTGCGTAGGGTTGAATTAATCGGTGACATGAGAGGTACCCAACCCAACCTAAGGATCTTCCGTACTGCTTTTCTCTAGGTGGCCCTGTTCTCCTCTGAGACACCTTCCAGTGCGCAAGGCCATAGGTGATTTATGTCCCAAACTCGGGAAAGTTTTAGGAGACAAGCATCAAGCATCCTAAATCCGTCTTCAATGGGTTTATCTCCTTCGGACACATTGTCCAGTCTAATATCTTTCTTCACCTCTTGCTTCTCTACAAGGGTAAAGATAGGAACCATGAGTGTGCTTTGTGTTCTATTTTCCCTTTTATATATTTTTATTTCTATAAAGTTTATGCATGTATAAAGTTTAAGAAGTCAGTTTTACAACTCTACTAATGGAAAACAGCAATTTTTTGCTATTGTCTAAGTACTGCATCTTATTTCTCCTTCTAAAATTGTGTCTATGTTTTTAGCATCTTATTTTGTTATTTCTTGATTTCTCTGATTTAAGTTTCACTTAATGACTTCCAACAGAAGATAACAGTCTTTCATCATCCTCTCAAATTTATGATAATAAAATTACATTGTTGCATTATTGTTGTTGTTGTTGTTAAGTGCTGTCAAGTCAATTCTGACCCATAGTGACCCTGTACAGGGTTTTCAAAGCTGCAAATCTTTACTGGAGCAGAAAGACTCATCTTTCTCCCACAGAACTGCGGTAGTTCAAACTGCTGACTTGAGATTAGCAGCCCAATTTGTAACCATTACGCTACCCGAGCTCCTTTTTGCATTATGATAGGAAGTAAATATATGCTGCTGCTGCTGCTGCTGTGTACCATCAGTCAGTTCCACTCGGTATAGGGTTTCTGAAACTGTAAATATTTCTTGGAGTAGAAAGCCTCATCTTTCTCTCGTGGAGTGTGAGAAGGCTTCAAAAAGTTTGTGGAATAATTGAATTAAAAGATAATGAAGTTTTCCTAAAAACCTTTTGAAGCCTCCTTGTAAAACCAACTGAACCATGTAGTATATTTCGAAGACATTTTGTTTCTTACACATCCCCAAGGAGCTCTGGTAGCATAGTGGTTACAAATCAGGCTGCAAACTGCACTGTCAGCAGTTTGAAACTACCAGCTGTTCTGTGGGAGAAAGACGAGGCTTTCTGCTCCTATAAAGATTTACAGCCTCGTAAACCCTGTACAGGGTCGCTATGAGTTGGAACCGACTCCACGGCACATAATCACCACCACCAATACATCCCACCCCCAACCCAATTAAGAATATTTTTGTTCCTTTTAGGCCTCAGGTATACCTGTTGTGTCAGCTACCCAAGTCACCATCAAGGAGAGGCTTTCTTCTAGTCTTGGATCCTATGTTCCTTAGATCCTCTGCCCGACTTCATCTTTCATGGTTACTCATTTTACTATTCTTAGATCAGATCCTTAAGTTGCATCCAAAAAAAAGTCACCTTTTTTTCAGGAAAAGGAATTTAAAAAAAAATTTTTTTTTTTTTTCAAATTACCCATCTATGGAGCTGTGATGGTTATTAATTTGTCAAAATTCCCAAAATGTCAATTTGGCCATGATTCTAAGTACTATTTAATTATTCTCCATTTTGTAGCTTGATGTAAGGGGAATATCCTTAGGGGTGTGACCTGCATTCTGTCTATATTGTGGATGTTGCACAAAGTTCTCCATCTCTTGACCCTGCATCTGACTCATCATTATCTGACCTCTGGTGTTTGGGATGTGAACCAGCAGCCTACCAGCTGACCTGGAGATTTCATCAGCTCCCATAACCCTATGACCCAGCAGCCTGCTGTCTGATCTGCTGATTTGGGGTTTGTCAGGCCTTGCAAATATGTGAGTCAGGAGAAGCTACAAGTCTGATGCCTGACCCATAGATTGCAGACTTACCAGCCTCCACATCTGTGTGAGCCATTTCTAGAAATAAATCTCCCTCTCTCTCTATCTTTCTATATAGATGTATGTGTGTGTGAATCACAAGGGTGGTTCAAAAATTATCCATGCTATAGCTGTAGAATTAATTTTAATCAACTTTTAGAAAAGACAAATAACATCATTTTTTGACATAATCTCCTTGTTTTTCAATAAACTTTGTCCATCTGTCAACAAGCTTTCATATTTCCCTTATTAAAAATGGTTTAGGCTGAGCTGCTAGCTCTGCAATCTTCACTTCTTCATCACAGGTGAATCTTCATCCTTGAAGGGTTGCTTTCAGGGGACCAAACAGGTGAAAATCCAATGGAGCAAGATCAGGACAATAAGGAAGATGTTTTAACACCTCAAAACAAAGATTTTGCAGACTGTCTACAGTGTGGATGTGTATTATCCTGCAATATAAGTCCTTTGGATAGTAGTCCTTTGAGTTTAATCTAAAATTTAGGCTTCAGTTCTAAAGTGAGCATCACTTTTACATTCAACAAATCATAGAACTTGTTTAATTACAATGATTACAATCCCTTCCATGTACAATCAGTTAACAGTATTTCTCTCTATTCACTTTAGCCACTCCCCCTTTCCATGACACCATCTCTGGCATAGCTGCTTCACTGGATAAGATCCCATATTCCGCTTGTGTTATTCTCTCTTGATGGTCAACAATATTTCTGTCTATTCACTTTAGCTCTTTTTTGTTTGTTTGTTTGTTTTGTTGTTGTTGCTGCTGTTGACTTTTTTTTTTTTTTAAGGCTTTTATTGTGGATTGAGTGAAAGTTTACAGGGCAGATCATCAGTTTTACATTCAACAAGTTATACAACTTGTTTCATCATAATGATTACAATCCCTTCCGTGTACCATCAGTTAACAGTATTTCTCTCTATTCACTTTAGCAACTCCCCCTCAACATGACCCCATCTCTGGTTCCATCTCTGGCATAGCTGCTTCTCTGGATAAGGTTCCATATTCTGCTTGTACTATTCTCCTTTGATGGACCTAGGATCCTCTGTTTCTGGACTGTAAGATTAACTACTCCCCTGGTTTTGTTACAAAACTTCTACCTTTACAATTATGACAGTCACAATTAGTCATGATAACAATTATTCACTATTGAATCATATGAATCTTATCCCCATCTCTTTTCATCAGACCCATCTAGACAAGATGAAAACTATTTAATGGGGACTCTTTCCTACCACCCCCCTCTATAATCTTAAACTAAACTCTCTCTTGAAACCTTGTAAGCCAGTCACTTCGTGCCTTTATTGCCCCCTCATTTTAGGTAGCCAGTGTCTAAATTACCTGTCCCTATCTATCCTGTGTACAGAGGGGATAGCATTGATACTTGATGTGAAGACTTCTTCCCTCTCTGTTGGTATTTAGAGTTACTACGTCCATGAGTATAGGTCAGGTTCATCAAATTGTAGCAATTTACCCTTGTTTCCTTTATAAAAAAAAAAAATTTTTTTTTTGTAATCTTTCTCTAGTCAAGTTCTGATTAGCAAGCCATTGAGGCTAAATCAAAAGGTTACTGTATGCAAGTTTGGGTGTTCTTGTGCATCTCCCCTTACTTCATATCAGCTGGATGCTTCACTCTCAGCTCTAGCCCTCTGTGCTATGTTCTTGTGCATGGGTGCAAGCGTCCCCCGGTCTCACCACACTTTGGACCAAGCAGACCTTCCTCTTCTTTCACTCAACTTTAGGTCAACAGGAATCAATGAATTGTGATTGAACTCAGCCCATTTCTTCATTGATGCCTTTCCCCCTCTTCCACTCACCAGTAGACCAATGTGGTTCCCAGCAAGCTGACATGCCTGTATCTGTGTTCCCTTTAAGTTTCAGTCTTAGAGGGGAATTTGTCCTGAAGGAACTTGATTACTTGCCTTGATGGCTTCCTGGTGAACAGCTTGATTATTCTTGTAGTAACCAGTCATGCTGATAGCATAATAGATAAAGATGGACATTATCTCATGATTAAAGGGACAATTGAACAAAATGAAATAACCCTAATAAATATCTATGCTTCCAATGAAAGAGCTCCAAAATATATAAAACAAACTCTAATAGATTTGAAGAAAGAAATAGATGAATCTACAATAATAGTGGGTGATTTTAATACACCACTTTCAAAAATGGATACAACAACCAGAAAGAAACTTGACAAAGACACAGAAGAACTAAACAACACAATCAGCCAACTGGACCTCATAGATGTGTACTGAGCATTCAACCTAAAAACTACCCAATACATATTCTTTTCCAGTGTACGTGGAACATTCTCCAGAATAGACCATGTTTTAGGCCAAAAAACAAATCTCCATAAATTTACAAATATCAAAATACTACAAAGCATCTTCTCAGACCACAATGCTATCATATTAGAAATCAACAATGGGAAGACCAAGGAAATCAAGTCAAATACATGGAAACTGAATAACACCCTGTTTAAAAGTGACTGGGTAGTAGAAAAAATTAAACGTGAATTCACAAAGTTTCTAGAAATAAATGAGAATGAAAACACAACATACCAAAACCTTTGGGGCACGGTAAAAGCAATGCTGAGAGGACAATTTATTGCAATAAATGCACACATCCAAAAAGAAGAAAGTACTAAAATTAACACATTAACACAACATCTACAACAACTAGAAACAGACCAACACAGGGAACCCACA